CACATTTTTTGTACAAATGTCTAGTCTAGTCAAATCTCATTTATCTAAGTATTTAATTTATCTATAAGGGTAAAAATGTTCAAAATTGACAATTTTGCAACTACTTTAAAATTGTGACATTTTGGTAATTACATGGTAACAAGATGACATCTAGTGTAATTTACTCTTGAGAGGAAAATGATTTTATCCCTTCAGTTGCCTTGCTCTCCTCTCTTCCCACCACCAATGGCCTCTTCTTTATGCTCAAATCTTAATTTCCTACCCACACCTCAATCCACGGCGGCGTCCGTCAGACTCCACCGCTTCTCCATCATACGGTGTGGCCCACGAGACAACCGTGGCCCACTCCTCAAAGGTCGGATCCTAAGCACCGAAGCAATTCAAGCCATCCAGGCCCTCAAACGTGCCCACAGAACCGAACCGACAAATCTCCCTACCCACATCCTCTCCCGCCTCATCAAATCAGACCTCATCGCCGCCTTCAAGGAGCTCCTGCGACAAGACCACTGCATTCTCGCCCTCAAAGTGTTCTCAATCATCCGATCAGAATACAGCGCTGATTTTGGCAATTATGCCGACCTGGTTATTGCATTATCCAGGAATGGATTCAGAGATGAAATTGATGCACTAATTCTTGATATGGAAAAGGAAGGAGGGATTCAGTGTGATGATATTAAGGGATTATCGAAGCTGATTAAGGCTTTGATTTATGCCGAGAGGAAAGAATCAACGGTCAGGATTTATGAGATGATGAGAAGGAGTGGGTGGGGTTCCAGTGTTACTGTGGATGAGTATTTGGGTAAAGTGTTGAGCAGAGGGTTGAGGATATTTGGAGAGGAGAAAATGGCCGATGAAATTGATGAGGAATTAAGGAGATTTTGTAGGGGCATTTTCGAGAAACCAAGGGTTTAGATTTATTTTTTTAAAAAAAATTGGTTTTATACTGTAATGTTTAATAGTTTATTATGAAGTTTGAAATAATTATTTTGTTCTGAGATAGAAAACTTTCCTGTTTTAAAAATTTTATAGTAGTAGTACAAATTAATAAAAAAATTCCAAAAATATAATTTTTAACTTTTGGTGTACATCTATCACATTTTAATCGAACAGTTCCAAAAAAAAAAAGAATTTTTTCAATCAATCTTTTATTGGCAACACGGCACGTGTCATTTATAGGGTAAGGAGGAAGTGTACAAACAGCATTTTCTCTTAGCCAAATGGAGCTTAATTAATTACATTCATTAATTGATTATTTTATTATAATTTATTATAAGGGTCACTATGCATGATGTGATTATGTTGGTTTGATTTCTTAGACATTAATGACATGTTTGTTAAGGAAAAAAAAAGTTAATATCTTCTTTGTTCTTTTATCTCATCATGTCAGTACTGCA